AACTTGCCTTATGCTGTAGGAACCCTGATAATAATCCGACCCATTTGCTGGTTACAGGTCAGCTCTCCTGGGAAAGCTCTGAACCTGTATCCGTCCAACGAGTACGAGGTTCTTCCTAACGGCAGCGAGGCTCACTGGGAGGTGGTGGAGCGGATCCTCTTCATCTACGCCAAACTCAACCCCGGCATCGCCTACGTTCAGGGCATGAACGAGATCGTGGGGCCCATCTACTACACGTTCGCCACGGACCCCAGCAGCCAGTGGAAAGGTCGGGAAGCTCCGCGAACGTTCGGCTAATGGAAGTTCTGGCGATGCTGACGCCGCTGTGTTCTGTCCTGCAGAGCACGCCGAGGCCGACACGTTCTTCTGTTTCACCAACCTGATGTCGGAAAACAGGGACAACTTCATCAAGAGCCTGGACGACTCCCAGTGCGGCATCACCTGCAAGATGGAGAGCGTCTACTCCATGCTGAAGGAGAAGGACCTGGAGCTGTTCCTCAAACTGGTAAAACCTGCACAGGATAAAGACCAGATGTTTGTCCCCTCAGCGCTCTGGCAGCCGATTCTCCATTTTCCACCTGATGAAATGTTGAATCTTTGCAGCAGCATCATCCTCTCATCTTGTTTCTCTGTCCTAAAACTTCTCTGACTCTATTATTAGTTTATTACTGTTAGTCTTCTTAGGTTACATATTAAAAACAGGAAGTCGTAAAGGTAACCGTTAACAAGCATGCATACAATACAACATTTAACTTACAGATGTTAGAACTTAGAAAGACATTTCAAGGAAATCTAGACATTCTATATCTGTCCACCGCCTGCGTTTCGTTTATAGATGGTTGTTTAATTTCATTTCCAAATAATCGATGCCTATACATCTCCTCAGTCGTCCTTTAAATGAAGACTTTTGTTTTATATTGATCAGTTTTAACCTTAAGGCTTTCTGTTCGTTAACTGCTCTGTAAATAGATTTTTTTTTTTTTTTTTATTATTTTAATTTAAAGCTGACCTTCAAAGGTGAGCCTGGTAATATAGGCAAGTTTATTTATACATCATAGTTCCGTACAAAGACGAATCAAAGTGCTTTACATGAACTAAATGATTAAATAAAAGGAAATTAAAAGTAAAGATAAAAACATGATAAAAGTAGTTAGTGAAGCTGATAAGAGTTTAATATTTGAGAATAGCCACTTAAGACTTAGACAGAGTTATTTGTCATTTTGTTTACGCAAGGGTAAAACAAAAAGAAATTAAAAATATTCTAAATATAAATCATGTTAAATATCTGAACCTTCAGCTTCTCCAGTTTTTATATTTATAAGAGCAGTTTAGTTTTGGTCCAGATTTGGGCCGCAACAAACATTATTTTGATAATCTTTTAATCTGTTGATTATTTTTTTTGATTAATAATAGGATAGCCAAATGTTCCTTAACAAGCATTTTATATAGAATTAAACCAGGTGAAACTGAAACTTTTCAACTTGTGGAGTTCTGGATAGAGCATATTGAGAGACGAAAAATATATATATTTTTTTATCTTAAATGCAAAATATATTTACATTTTTTTTCACCATTTTGGTTTATTTACCGCTCTAAGTGGGTCACTCTGTCGGCTAAAGACATTTTATAGAGTCTTTATAGTCCAGTTAACGATTAATCAATCACTGAATTAGTTGACGAAGATTTTAATAATAAATTAATCACGATTAATCTCATTAATAGTTTGAGCGCCAATCCAGATAAATTTGAGAAATTATTCCAGTTTTAAAAAATCTTCTCCAAATTAGCTGGAAAGTTCTGATGACATCTTCTTAAACCTGATAAATTTTTTCTGTATTTTTTGTAATCAGTTGTGTTACTTTCCTCTGTAGAAGTTTTATTATTTAGTAAATTTAACTGTAGATTATCTTCAAGAGTTTTATTTCAGCCAAACACGAAGCTTTTTGTTTCAGAAATGATTAAATTTTCCTCTACACTTGAAAAAATTGAAATCTAGATACGTAATTTTTTCTTAAAATAAGTGCATTTGTTCTTGGATTGAGGAGGTAAAAGAGACATTTTTGCCAATGGAACAAGACAATTTATACTTAAAATAAGGAAACAAAATTGCTTTGTCTTATTTCAAGTGCATATTCTCTAATTATCTTATTTTAAGAGTAAAAATACTCATTCCATTGGCAAACTATCTTATTTACCTACTTAGAATAAGGATAAATACACTTAATTTAAGACATTTTTACTTATTTCTAGATGTTTTTCGCAGTGTAAGATTGAAGAAGCTCTGATATGAACTCAGCAGCTGCACAGGCTGTTGCATCATCAGCATAAATGGCTCATTTAGCTTCTTCCATTATTAATGGGAGATTATTGGTGAGGATTACACAAAGCAGCAGAAACTACCATTAAAGTAGATGCAATGTGACCCTCAGCTAAATAACTGCTGATCAAAGTCAATGCAGGTTTAGTTTTTCTAAAATTAAACGGAACGATTATAACTGAGGCAGCTGGATCCTTTTAAATGAACTCTGTTCTCCATGAACGTCATGGTAACAGGTCGGTTTTTTTGTCCGTTCAGGAGGAGCAGAACATCAAGCCTCAGTACTTCACCTTCCGCTGGCTCACCCTGCTGCTGTCTCAGGAGTTCCTCCTGCCGGACGTCATCCGGATCTGGGACACCCTGTTCTCCGACAAGGACCGCTTCCACTTCCTGCTCCTGGTCTGCTGCGCCATGCTGATGTGAGGCTCCCAGATTCTCCTGCAGGCCCGGTAACGTCCCGTTGCTTTCACTGAGTCCTGATCCGTCTCTGCTCTGTCTTCCTGTCCAGACTCATCCGGGACAACCTACTGACCGGAGATTTCACCACCAACATGAGGTTACTGCAGGTAGGATCCTCTGGGGATGATCCACTTCTGTTCTAAACGATCAAACCGATCCATTTAGGGCTTCTGTTTAAAGTATCGAAGAATTTCTTTCCCAAAGAATAAAATTAAAATTTTTTGGGGGGAGGTAAAACAAAATAAAAGCTTTAAATGAGACTCCTTTGTGNCTGCCGGACGTCATCCGGATCTGGGACACCCTGTTCTCCGACAAGGACCGCTTCCACTTCCTGCTCCTGGTCTGCTGCGCCATGCTGATGTGAGGCTCCCAGATTCTCCCGCAGGCCCGGTAACGTCCCGTTGCTTTCACTGAGTCCTGATCCGTCTCTGCTCTGTCTTCCTGTCCAGACTCATCCGGGACAACCTACTGACCGGAGATTTCACCACCAACATGAGGTTACTGCAGGTAGGATCCTCTGGGGATGATCCACTTCTGTTCTAAACGATCAAACCGATCCATTTAGGGCTTCTGTTTAAAGTATCGAAGAATTTCTTTCCCAAAGAATAAAATTTAAAGTTTTTGGGGGGAGGTAAAACAAAATAAAAGCTTTAAATGAGACTCCTTTGTGAGGCATCATCATTTTTTTTTCTGCTGGCCAATGTTATTTAAAGTTTAACCTGACTGTAAAATATTATCATTATTTATTTAATTTTTTTAGGAGGAAAATGGGTTTTATTTCCCCAAAGTAACAAAAATCCAAACCATAATTACAGAGCCCTTAAAAGAGGTCAAATGAAGGGAATAACTCAGGGCAAAACATATCAAGGTTAAACATAACAAAAACATAAAAAATACTGGCTGATCAGATCAGACTGACACACTGAGGAAGAGGTAGGGAGAACATCTACCGTACACAAATTTAACAAAAAATAAACAGATAGCTTAAGGATTAAAATTAAATTACTAATGACTAAACAATATGAGCAAATATCAAAAGCAAAAGAGAAATTCTGCAGCATATTAAAATGTAAACTCCATGATCTCCCCCCCATAGTGGAACTCCAGATGGTATCATCCAATCTATCAATCAGTCTCTAATGAGTGTTGCAGGCAGTCCTTTGCCTTCTCCCAGTTGAAGGTACTCTCCACACCACCACAAAAGAAAGCACAAACAACATTAAGTATTTGAAAACTAATGTGTTTTAATATTCTCAAAATAATGATAAACAAACCAATACATTTATGCTGCCATATTTTAAAACTTAAAGTAAAAAAGTGTTTCTGTGTGGAGTAACTGACCATGTGATCATCACAGTTCATATGCTTCTCTAATCTGGAACAAACTCCCAGAAAACTGTAAATGTCTTGAAAACCTTAGTTGACTTAAATCCAGATTAAAAACATATTTATTTATAGTCGCCTTTAGTCGCAATCTAAGCCTTGTATTTGTTTTAACATCATACACATTACTTTAGTCTTTTTACAGAAATGTTTTATATAGATAATTGGGGTGGAACGGTTCACAAAATCCACGGTTCGGTTCGATTCCAGATTAGGGAAGCATATTCGGTTCGGTTCGATTCAGTATATGTTGATTGTTACACCGAAATCCCATAAAAATTTATGAAATTAATGAAAAAATCCCCCAAAAAATAATGAATTGTAATTATTTTTAATGATCCGCGGAAACCCTGGATCATTTCTGTGTTTTGCTGCTTTGAATTTAATCATCTGGCGCATGCCCTCTACGATCTCCAAGGAACTCAGAGCGGACGGGAGCCACAGTGGAGGCTGTAGGCGTTGCTTTGAGCAGCCGGTCTGGAGCGCAGCGGGGCGGAGCGCTGACGGAGTATGTGGGATTTCGGGTTAGCATGACATGTTGGTCATGTTGCTGTTAGCATAAACAAAATGGGTTGCACAATGCTTGCACACTGTTGCACTTTTATCCACAACTTTCTTTCCGCCGTCATCNCCTACTGACCGGAGATTTCACCACCAACATGAGGTTACTGCAGGTAGGATCCTCTGGGGATGATCCACTTCTGTTCTAAACGATCAAACCGATCCATTTAGGGCTTCTGTTTAAAGTATCGAAGAATTTCTTTCCCAAAGAATAAAATTAAAATTTTTTGGGGGGAGGTAAAACAAAATAAAAGCTTTAAATGAGACTCCTTTGTGCTGCATCTTTATTTTTCTTTCTACTGGCCAATGTTATTTAAAGTTTAACCTGACTGTAAAATATTATTATTATTATTTTATTTTTTTTTAGCAGGAAAATGGGTTTTATTTCCCCAAAATAACAAAAATCCAAACAATAATTAAAGGGCCCTTAAAAGAGGTCAAATGAAGGGAATAACTCAGGGCAAAACTGACAGCCACTAAACTAAGGGGACCTAAATACTGGCTGATCAGATCAGACTGACACACTGAGGAAGAGGTAGGGAGAACATCTACCGTACTCAAATTTAACAAAAAATAAACAGTTAGCTTGAAGATTAAAATTAAATTACTAATGACTAAACAATATGAGCAAATAACAAAAGCAAAAGAGAAATTCTGCAGCATATTAAAATGTAAACTCCATGATCTTCCCCCCATAGTGGAACTCCAGATGGTATCATCCAATCTATCAATCAGTCTCTAATGAGTGTGTCAGGCAGAGTCCTTTGCCTTTTCCCAATTGAAGGTACTCTCCACACCACCACAAAAGAAGCACAAACAACATTAAGTATTTGACAAAATTGAAAATACAAAAGTTAACTAATTGTGCGAGCTACAACTAATGTGTTTTAATATTCTCAAAATAATGATAAACAAACCAATACATTTATGCTGCCGTATTTTAAAACTTAAAGTGAAAAAGTGTTTGTGTGTGGAGTAACTGACCATTTGATCATCACAGATCATATGCTTCCCTAATCTGGAGCAAACTCCCAGAAAACTGTAAATATCTTGGAAACCTTAGTTGACTTAAATCCAGATTAATAACATATTTATTTATAGTCCCAATCTAAGCCTTGTATTTGTTTTAACATCATACACATTACTTTAGTCTTTTTACAGAAATGTTTTATATAGATAATATCACCTGTTATCGGACACTGTTTTTTTTTTCTTTTTTTTTTTTTACAAAAATCTTAAAGCCATATTTTCTTTGTTTTGTTTTTTTTTCTTTTTTGCATCATCATTTTGAGATAAAGATAGCCCCAAACCGTGCCGAGATCATTCTGAGCACGGTAACCTAGATAAATGTTGATTTTAAATGGCACACGTAACTGAACCAGACTGTACCAGACAAAACCGAACCGCGCTAACATGGTACTAGTTCATCAGTAGAGCTCGGCGAGGTTCACTTCTGGCTCAGTTCTCAGATAACAAAGAACGCATGAGCAGACGGCATCATGTCCTTACAGCTTTATTAGACATTTTAATCGTGTAGAAGATGGAAACGAAGGGGAATAAAGGCACAGAGGTGAGGCTATAAATAAAAATAATAATAATAATGAATTTTATTTGTAACGCACTTTACATTTGAATTGAAATCTCAAAGTGCTACAGTTCAAAAAGGGAAAATTAAAACAAAGGTTAAAAGACCATAACATTAAAAACAGAGTAAAAGATAATAATTAAAATTAATACATTTGAAGGCAAACGTAGCCTATAAAAAAAAAAAAAAATCTAAAAATCAGCAATTGTAGGCATTTCTAAAAAGGAAAAGGGATTCAGGAGAGAAATAAAGGAGAAAAAGAAGGAAAGGAGGATTTAAGATGAGATCAGAGCCGATGGTCCAGAACCAAGGCGGCCCAAGACCCAACTTTTAATGAAACAGGAAAACAGGAGCTATCTCTCATATCCACACATACATGTTTGTGTTTTTATATTCTTGTCTTTTATTTATTTAAAAAAAGGTGTCTTTTTTTTAATTTTCTGCAGGATTATCCAATCTCAGACGTTCACACCATCCTGACCAAAGCCAAAGAGCTGCAGGAGAACTCCTAACGAGATGTCCTCCTGCTGATGTCCGAACATTTCTCCTGGAAGGACACTGAGGAGCCGGGACTGTTCTTTGGGAAAACGCAGAAATCTGCTTTTTAACGGAAGGTCAAACCTTGAAGGAAACATTTGGGAGACAGAGACATCTGGTACTTCCTTTGGAAAGTCTTTCTCCTTTGTCAGACATTTTATTTCCCCCATAAAATGATCAAAAACTGACATTTTTATTGATCATCTGGTGGAGAAGGGACCACAGCGACCAACACTACAGGTGTGATTGTCAGAAGACACCCAGCGGATGGAGAGAAGAATCTGATGTCTGATTGGATCATCAGAGATCTTGTTTTAATTATTAATGTCGGCGGAATTTTGGCATTTTCTTCTTCTGAAGCGGGAAGCGGCATTCCTGGAACCAGGAATTCATGAGCTCCACGTCTTCAGTGCTTCATCTGTAACCCGTCTTCAGCGCAGCTCCAGCTCGGAGTCATAACATCTTGATCTGTTTCTGGATATTTGAATCTGATTTAATTCTTTTATTAATCAGAACATACCTGGATTTCTGTGCAGATACTCATTTTCCAGTTTAAGTTCCAGTAAAACCAGCAGATGGTTGGCTGCTCCTCGTTCAGTATGAAAGCATTTATAACCTGATGATGGAGCTCCAGGCGCCACCGCTTCCCCTACTTACATCTGATTTTTTCGGTGCAGACTAATTCCTGGTGAAGCACATTAATGTTTGATATTATTTCTTTGTTTTATCTGCTGCTTCGCAGTGAAAAGATTCCAGGTCGAACCCAAGTTAACAGGAAACCAGGAAGTTATAAACCAGCCTCTCAGTTCTTCCTGAAATTCTTCCTCTGATCCAGAGTGAAACAGCTGCTGTCGGCTTTCTATCCAGTTTCAGTCCAGCATCATAGAAGGGTCCCGTCTAGAAAATGTAGTTCTCCTGTAGGAGAACGGTGTTTGAAAGTTAGATCTAGATCCTCCTCTAGATAAAGACTGTTTGATACGTTCTATAAACTTCACTTTGATACAAAACTGAGGTCTTCCTAAGTTTTTTGTTCCACTTTCTAATCGTTTTGACCTCCACTGTTAGCCATACCAGATACTAAAGAGGCTTTTCTGATTAATCTGCGGATTCAAACAAAAAAGAAAGTTGGTGTCCAACATTAACACCTTAGATGTTTGGTTGTTTTAGTTCAACGCTTCCTTCCTTCTTTTGAGTTACGATTATATTTCAGCTAGGGTTACTTGCATGTCTGAGTTTACAACATTTCTCTGGAAGTTTAGCCTTACTGCACTGAAACTGGGTAAAAAAGAAGCCACAGCTGTAGAAGAAGAACTCTGGGTCTCCAGGTTTTCTAAAGGTCTGATAACGAGTAGCACGAAGCATCGAGATCGTAGGAAGGATGTTGAAAGGAAACGAGGTTCGGATTTTTGTCTGGCAATATTCAGAAACGCCTAAAAGTATCGTCTTGTTAAGATCAAAGTCTATAAAGTGTTTTGATTAAAACCTGTTTTTGATTTTTCAGAAATCTTGTAACAAAACGAAACAGACATTTTTTTTTTTTTTTGCCAAACAGTAATTTTCCTTTGATAAACATCAGGTCAGTTTCAGAAATCCCCTCAATGACCTTAAACCTTTTATTGTTTTTATGACACTAAAGACATCATCCGACATTTAGCTGAAACCGAACAAATGAAGAATTGGAGGGTGACTAAACCTCTGATTGAAGGATCATCCAAGTAGTCCACAAGTATATCAATGACGTATTACCAGAGCCAGATTCCACAAAATGTACAGTTTCTTAAAAAAGCCACAAGATTGTATTGATTGAAGTGCAATCTAAAGTTTGGCCACCTGATGGCTCCACTTAAGCAGAATTTCAGTGAATTTTTGTTGTTGTTTTTTGCCTTCTAAATCAGAGTATTTGGTTCTGGTTTCAAGGTGATAACCTGTGTGGTTCTCTCCAACATCTGGATCTCTGAGTTTCAGGCAGTCGGCACAGTTATAGACGTTACAATAAGTGCCAACGTCTTGACCATCCTACGAAATAAAACCACAGAAATCATGTCAAGAAAATCTTGTTCCCATGATCCTCTAAGTTGGAGACTTTGAGATGCCAAAAAATTGTGTTCAAGAAATGGAAACCAGATTCAGCTTAGATCCACACACCAATAACTTTGTTTTTGCAAATGTTTGCAGGATACACTTTTTATTTCCTTTCTTTGCAAAATTGTAGAAATTTGAAGCTTTTTGTTTTTACATTTTTGTTATTGCACTTATTTGGGGAAAATCTTTGATCTAATCTACCATAAAAACTTCCTGCAGTGATCGTAAAAAGTTCAACACCATCTCAGCTGTTTTTTTTTTTTATGTTTAATACTAATTAAAATGTGTAACATTAAGACCAAAACAGACACAGTGAAGGTATTTTTTTATTGTGCACAAAGGTTTTTACTTTGAGGGATTGTTACTAACGACCTCATCAGTTTAAGGTATTTATTTCTTTTTAGACGGTTTCTGTGTTTGATGATTGTTGAATAAAATTCTTCTTAGTCCCATTTTTTTTGCATGAATTACATTTTGTAAACTCAGATGCTTTTTTGTAAAGTTCTCCAGTCGTTTTTACATGTTTGCAGATGTGAATTAAACAATGGGACAGTGTCTCCTGATTCATGCAATGGGTCCTAAATTGGTTTGATATTTGATGAACAGTTTCAGGTACTTTTTAAATGTTGCAGTGTTGTTTAAAACAACAGAAATGACCATATCTTGTTACATGCGCATGTGTCAGAGCTGAGCATATTGGGAGAACGCAGATCTAAGGCAAATACGGGAAAATACTGTGGTAATTCCAGTTCTTTTTTAAATTATGATGACTGCTAATTGAGTATGAATGTTGACTTCATCTGCTAAGAGAGTTCTGATATGTCAAATAAAAAGCAAGCAAGGGCCTCGCTATGCACATACCGGAGATTGACATGGCAGCAGGAAAAATATCAACACGTAGGACCTGTCCGAGTTCAAGCAAACCACAACTGAGTTAAAGCGCCTTGAAGAATCAAATTGCAGCAAAGTTTCTGCAAAGTGTCTAGAGCAGTAGAGTAACTCAGACAAATCTCAAGCAAGTCAATTCAGACATGTTGTCTTTGGGGAAGTTTCTGCAAAGGCTGTAACATTCTCTCTGAGTCTAGAGCATTAGAGTAACTGAGACAAATCTGACTTACATACATGCATTGAACTGTATATATGTAAAGGGTTTTACGAAAGGCCTCAGAAGAATTGTGGAGTGGTCTAAAAGCGGTTCAAAAGAATCTTCAAATGCCGCTGACATATAGGATCTTCGCAGAATGGCATTTAACTTGTTTACAGTCGAGCACGGATAAAGGAAATGTTAAAGTACTGATGCCCACTAATGTAAGTACCAGAAAATCTTATTGAGAAGTGTGAAAGTCCGACATTAGCGCATGCTAAGAGTAGCAAGCCCAACAGGTGAACACTGGCATTGGTGTTAAGGACAATTAGTAGCAGTCAGTAATGTCATGTGGCAGGCAGGTTTCCATTGGACCTCTGTGCTTGTATTTACCCCATATGGGACTCGAACCCACAATCCCTGGATTAGGAGGCCAGTGCCTTATCCATTAGGCCACTGGGGCAGGTACAGCAGATGTCCCATCAGGTGAAAAGCCGTACGTGTAATTCCTGTGCAAGCAATGAGTCACCGTCTGAAAACTGGCTGCACAGTGAGTCGACAGTGCCTGCAGACCTTTTGGGGATTCTTGCTGCACTATGCAGCGCATAGCTCTCACAACCTGAAAGCTGTGACTTTGACCCACACACTTGGCATTTGTTTTAGCTTGACAGGAACATTCATTCGTGCTCTTACATGACCATGGTCAGCTTTTGGCTGGGGTAAGGCAAATAGCTCAATAGATAACAAGTGTGACGACCTCATC